GCAAAGGTCCTCGTTAGAGTGGGTACCGCTGGTGCTAGGCAGAAGACCCTTGGCATCGGTGATATCGTTATCGCGACTGGTGCTGTTCGTGACGAGGGTGCCACTCGGCACTACATGCCTCCCGAATTTCCTGCTCTCGGTTCGGCGGTTGTTGTTACTGCCATGTGTAGTGCCGCCCAACTGCAGCTAGAAGACGAGGATGAAAATATCCAGGGCGGTGCTCAATGGATCTACGATGCTGGTCCGGTCCACACCAAAGATTCGCCCATGGCCAGAGAGTTCAATTTTGGCCCCTATGTCCCTGAGCACAAGCGGTATATTGAAGTTTTAGAGAACCTGGATGCTTGGCTTCCGACATGGAAGTGGCTATGCTATTCACTTTAGGGCAAGTGTATGGTATCAAGACTGGCTGTGTTCTCGCTCATATTCGTGGTGGAAGTGATCCCATCTCTGACAAGGCAAACCTCAAGAGTGAGGCGATTGGTCGCTCGTGAAGGATTGCATTCCGCGGTATGGCTCAGTTGGAAAAACATAGACAGACTCGCCAGCAAGGCGTCGTTGCTAGTGACGAGTAGGTCTGCCACCTCAGTGGTACTGAGAGAACTTGGTGCTTGTGTTGGAAGTGTTAGCCCAGTGGTATTCCCTAGGTAACTGCCCCTGTATACGGCTGTTGATTATCTGCTGGTGCTCAGTACCGGGTACTGACTTGTTGCTATCTTTCTCTCACATCAACATCAGTATCCTTCTTACCCTATTTCCAAGGGATTTATGCTCTACGCATATCACGCGACTGTTTTTTGTGGCTTTTTTAGTATTCATCGTACGCTTCTTTGGATCGTGTTTTGAGTGGATCAAACTCATTCTATAACCTCATTCGCTCGAGTAGAATCTTCTGCTGTGGCAGCTCGGGATTTCACCATAAGGGCCTGTTGAATATTTTCAAGATAGTATGTCTGAAACTCGACGACGACGTAGGACTTCAAGTACCGGTAGACCCTCATCCTCAATAGTCTCCGAGAAGGAGGAGTTTGATATGGTAGTAACACTCATTCGTATACTCCCTAAGGTCTGTTGTGCTCATCATTTCGTGGGGCGGCTATGCCACTCTGGAATTAAGTAAAATTGACCTTAGGCGAAGAGATGTGCTCATTAATTTCGTGGGGCGGCTATGCCACTCTTGAATTAAGTAAAATTGACCGTAGGCGATGAGATGTGCTCATTAATTTTGTGGGGCGGCTATGCCACTCTTGAATTAAGTAAAATTGACCGTAGGCGATGAGATGGGGGATTAGTTTTGTTGGCACGATAGAGTAACGCCAATTTCGACAAATTGTGGGATTCGATGTTATTTGTCGAGTCCGATCTCGCACGGGGCGGATATGCCATAGGAGGGCTAGGATTCTTACCTCGTACTTCTGTAAAACCTTCCTTGAAGTGGCATAGCTGCCCCACAAAGTTTATCTACTAAGGGTGTTTAGGAGGTGTGGTCATTAAGGAATCGAGCGACTGAGGTTCCCCGTATGTACCAGACGACCCAACGTTGGGCAGCCGGGCGGGTGGAGGCTCTTGTGAAGGCTCTTTGTATGCAATACTGCTCGAGTCTTCAGGTGGGTCATCCACCAGCGTCCCCATCAGAACCTGCTCCGAGCCTGTTATCTGTACTGGTGTGTGTGCTCCTAGCGTCGACACTCTTGAAAGTCGCAGTGGGTCCTCATCAGCCACACTCGGGCCAAGGACAGCCACCGATGTAATGCTGGTAAAATAAGGGTGACGTGATTGAGAGTTCTTTAGTAGAGTGGGAACTGCCTGGACTCTTTATCCCTACAAAACGCGAAACTTGGTCTGTGGCATCAGTACTGAGTGATTGTATGTCGCAGGTACGGAGATTATGAAGCTCAGCGTCACTGGATGGAACTCACTTTCCATACTCCTATGAAGGAGTGGTATCGGAGTACAGTGAACAATGAGCCCTCTTATTGGCCTATAGACTACCCTCCACTGACAGCATACCATTCGTGGCTCATGGGGTAAGTTCGATACCACGGACGTCGTGGGTACCTATGGGTACCTATTCGCACGCTTTCGGAGGAAGTCGGTAGCTGTCTAATGAACTCTAGTAGGAAGTTTCAATGTATCAACCTGATAACCAATTCGCTGGGAGAAATGTATCGCTTCAACGTTGCGGCAAAAAGAGGATGACCCGTCCTACGCTACTCGAATTAGGCTCGTGATTAGTACTGCGGGCGGTGATGTTCAGAAAGGTTCTTTCTATTGCAGGGACAGACGCCTCACGCTTTCAGGTACTTTACCGATCTCTTCGGCATGCCTCAGGCGATTGAGCTCACTGTCTCTAGAGGTTACGAGGATCTTGATCACAAGACTTTCATGCGATGGACAGCCCTATTGCCTGATATAGTTCTGCTGGGATCTGGTAGGCGCATCTGATACTCCTTGTGTCAAGGTGTCTTTTGTCTCAGGCATGTTATGGTATTTTTACCATCTTCCTTGGCTGTCAGTGAAATCCAAAGCACTGTGCTTTGCAGCAGCTCTTTTCACGCCCGGTTTTGTTCTGATCGACCACTGTCATTTCCAGTAAGTTATTGTTCATTTTGTAATACTGCATTATCCGAGTCCAGGTACAACTCGGTAGCACTAGGTCTTCTTATGTGGTCTATCAACTTCATCACGCAGCCAGAATTCAACAAGCATTTGATCGGGGCCTTCCTCTACTCCCTTGCTGTCATGTACAAGCAGACCTTCCTCTATTTCGCACCGGCAATGTTCGCCTACCTTCTAGGCCAGGTGAGGTGTTGGGAATCTAGAGATCATACTCGCAATACCTCGTTGATTCTCGGCTCAGCTCACAGTTATCATGGTGGGATTTAGGCCATAGCCGCTAGCTACAACAAAAAGGACGTCCTGAAGCGTATCATGGCCTTGGGTTTGGTAGTAGCCTCATCAGTGGTATTAGCTTTGCTGCCTCTTATCATTGCTGATGGTAGGGATAGTAAAGCTCGCGAGCCCCGTGTTAGCTGTTGCTTCCATATGTAGGTGACTTTACTGTTATCAACCGACTGAGAGAGAAAATGTTCCCTTTCAAACGTGGCTTGTACGAAGATCATGTGTCGAATGTATGGGTGATGCTATCGCCGGTAAGCTTCGTTACTTATCCCCGACTCTTAGACATCTGACAGGTCCTCAAGCTCCGTCGCTGGTCGTTGGCCTCTGAAGGGTTTGCTCGAATCATGGTCAAGGTTTGCACTCTTTGTACGTAACCTTGCTTTAACGTACTCCCCGAGCAATGGTCGTTATTTTAGGCACATTGCTTGCCTCCTTACCCTCGGTGTTGGATTGCATCTTCCGACCTCCACAGACTAACAAACGGCAGCGCTTCCTCGCTTGTCTGTTTCAGTCGAGCCTCTCATTTTTCCTTTTCAGCTGGTGAGCTCATCCCATTGTACACGGCGTATGTATGGTTGATCGTTAGGCAAGTCCACGAGAAGGCCATACTGCTCCCCCTCCTCCCGGCTATGCTCCTCCTTCCCGATCAGCCCATATTCAGCGTATCTTTTGGGATGCTATCGACATTGAGTTTATGGAGGCTCATGGAGAAAGACAACCTCCAGGTAACCTATCAAACTCGGGGGAGTGTCGGAGTAATCAGGTTCTGTACAAGTTATTGCCGTTGTAGGTGGTGACCACTGGACTCGCTCTACTTTCCTTCATCATCTACTCATACACCCTCCGTTCATCTAGGGCCACCTGCCACCCTCGAGACAATATCTGCTTCATCCTAGTCGCTGCTATCCTCGTAGTTGTAGGACTCATCTTCACTCTCCTCAATATACTGAGTCGTCTTCTTTTCTA